GAGGTGAGGAGAAACCATCTGGCAGGTGGCGGGAGGCGGGAAGCGGGGGCCACACACTTACCTGCTGGAAACTGTCCTCAAACAATGTCTGCCTGGCAACGGTGATCTTGACATACTGCGGCAAGGCGTTCGACTGCAAGGAAATATGAAGATTACCAAGAAAGAAAGAAAGAGAGAGAGAGAGAGAGAGAGAGAGAGAGACAGAGAGACAGAGAGAGAGAGAGAGAGAGAGAGAGAGAGAGAGAGAGAGAGAGAGACAGAGAGACAGAAGACAAAAGAACGAAAAAAAGAGTAGGACGAGATAGCGAAAGGAGAGAGAAAGAGGGAGGGAGGGAGAATGGGGGAGGGAAAGAGTTATGCGTTAGATTATACTCACGGCAAGCACGACGAGAACGAGAAGAGCGGCTGTAGTCTTATTCATTTTTCTCTTTTGATTTTCACAAGATTTTCTACACAAAGAAACAAAACCGCGTTAGCCAACGTTGCGACGCCGTGGACAACCCTCAATGCAAAGTGTTGGGCATTGTCAACATCCTCGATAATTCATCATGCTGAATCGTGTAATTATATTGCTCTTATTCGGAAGGCAGTTATTAACTAACATGGAATTCGATAGGAAACGTAATTTCCTTCAGTATACTAATATGCTGACAAGCATCTATTTACTGTCTGGATGTTGTACATGTAAATAACTAAACGCAATTATACTACATATATATCAACAACAAACAAACATACTACTAAAGAATTGAATGTAAACACATAATGTGACAACATACCAAGTGATGTACCTCTTTCAAATACACTACACATGATTACATATACTGCGTGAAAATATGCCAAACATGAATTTACTTCGTGTAAATATGCTACTCAAAAATATACTACATATAAATATGATACGTGTAACAAAGCTGTACGTAGCGTAAACAAACGCGCACATAATTATACTGCCATGTCGTTTTGCTACTCTTCATCTGATATCTACCACTAGAGACATGTACGACGGGTAGAAAGAGTAGAACCTATGCATGAAACCAAGAGCACAAAGACTAGTTGTGACAACATCTACACATGCACGCCTTGGTGTAGAGAGAACAAAGGGGCCCATGTAGGCTTTTTACACATCTCTATATCTAACAGTAGCCAACTGAAAGCATTTACCCGTTTCTGAAAATAGGTATGGCATATCGGCTTACCTTGCTGGTTCTGCGTTGCGCGCGTGTGTGTGTGTGTACCGAAGGAGCCTGTTGAACACGATGTGACTCCTCTCCTTCGACTCACCCTACATATATACCGGCGCGCTGTCGCATTGACCGCGCGCCTGAAGCAACCGTCCTGCTCTGTTCACGCAGTTTTAGACTTGATGACCATGACTAATTTGCCCAGCACATCAAGACGTCGTTTACCATTCGCTAGTTTATTCAGCGCCGTCATTCCGTTAGCTAGAAGGTTAAGCTAGTCGCCATGTGGTATCGCCATCCATGAATAATATAATATACACACACACATATATACATGTATACATCATATACATGTATATATATATACATGTATATATATATACATGTACATATATATGTCATACAGACGCGACGCAAATCTTTGTGATACTCTCGTATCGAGTATTGTACGCGGCCCTGACGACTCCGTGAGCAAACCTGGCTCACGTCCTTGTTATCGCAAACGGTGCAACACCTGTGTATATATAACTAATAAATCCGTAGTAAAAGGGCCCCGAGGGGAAATTATAGTTCGTGATTATTTTACATGCGTAGCAAGTAATCTTATTTACGCCAACGATTGCACCAAATGCAATAGTATTTACATTGGTGAAACTAAACGACGTCTTGCGGATAGATTTACCGAACACCTTAGGTCTATATTCGCCTAAATTCCCGTGGTTTTCCTGTAGCTGCGCATTTTGACATACCTGCTCACACCATAGCGGATATACGCGTTTGTGGATGCCAATTGACTACGCATTGCAACACAACACAGCGTCAAATAATTGAACAAAAACTCATTTTAAGAGCTGGATGCTTAAAACCTGACGGCATGAATGTAAATTTTAATTACATGTAAATGTTTGTACATGTGGGTGTTAGTGGACGCACGCGTGTGCGTGGAGTTATTTTGTCTTTATATATTATATAATTATATAAATTTATTTATATATATATATATTTATTTATTTATTATTTGATATTATTTATTTGTATGTCGTGCATTTTGTTTTTATGGTAACGCATAGGGCCTATCATTTGTACTATTCTATCTCCGTCGTTCTTTGTGTTTCTTTTTAGCTATTAGTAACGCTCATTGTCATTGTTTCTTCTATCACTATTACATTGTGTGTTTGTTTATTTTTATTTATTCGTCACCAAGTAGTTACGCGTAATGTTTGTAATATTCTATTTCCATCTTATTGTGTGTTTGTTTTTATTTATCAGTCATGGTAACGCGCATCGTCTCTGGTTTTCAATCACCAATCATATTGTGTGTCGGTTTAATTTTGTTTATTTATATTTATTTGTCATCATGGTAACGCGCGTATCGCATTGTATTCAAAAATAACGTTTTCCTATTCTATTGTTGTCGCCTGGCGAAGAGATATATGTTTTCGAAAGCTCCCGTAATAAAATTTTGACACCTATTTCTATTTTTAAATTTATCTGATATATTTTGCACGCACGCACGCACGCACGCACGCACGCACGCACGCACGCACGCGCCACACACACACACACACACACACACACACACACACACACACACACACAACACCACACACACATATATACTACAACCACAACCACAACCATACATATATATATATATATATATATAATATATTATTATATATATATAATATATACGACGTTACGTAAATGGAAGGTTTGCCATCAATGGCTGAAGAGGGAGATCGTTTATAATCGGGCTGAATGATGTTTACGAGGTAAAATCGCACGGCAAACAAAAACATCCGTGAATGATAAATGATTGCCGATTACGTCGGTGTGTGTGTGTGTGGCTGTGTGTGTGTGTGTGTGTGTGTGTAGTGTTGTGTGTGTGTGTGGTGTGTGTGTGTGTGTGTGTTGTGTGTGTGTGTGTGTTACACAATAATTTATATATAATATATATATATGTGTGTGTATAAATATATATATATTATATATACACTATTAGGTTATTGGTTCAGTATTATATGACTGTGATTGCTAATGCTATTTACTGCTGGTAAGCTGCCGCGTTATTACACTAGGTGATACACGCGGTGGTTCTACTTACACGAATGTTACTATATTGTATATTATTTACTACTGTAATATTTACCGTCTACGACGTGTGTGTGTGCGCGCGCGCCCGAGCGTGTGTGTGTGGTAGTCTATCTATCTATCTATCTATCTATCTATCTATCTATCTATCTATCTATCTATCTGTCTATCCATATATTTATCTATCTATATGTATGTATCTATCTATCTATCAATATAGTTATCCATTCATCTCGCTATCTATCTATCTATCTATCTATCTATCTATCTATCTATCTATCTATCTATCTATCTATCTATCTATCTATCTATCTATCTATCTATCTATCTGTCTGTCTGTCTGTCTGTCTGTCTATCTATCTATCTATCTATCTGTCTGTCTGTCTGTATGTCTGTCTATCTGTCTATCTCTCTCCTTAGGTATATATTATAATATATTATATAATATATATATATATATATATATATATATATTATTCAGACAGATGGCGAGGCCACATGGCGACTAGCGTAACCTTCTAGCTAACGGAATGACGGCGCTGCGTCATTCTTTTTTTACAAGATTAACCTCGTAAACGTCATCTACATGATCCCTCTTCAACCATCGGTGGCACACATAGGCGGATTACATAACACCAATGCAGAAAAAAAGCAAAGAGGGCAATAAACTAGCGAATGGTAAACGACGTCGTGTTGTACTGGGTAAATCAGTCAAGGTCACCAAGTCTAACTAACACACGCACACACCGAACGCAGAACCAGCAAGGTAAGCCGATTCGCCGTACCTATTTTCAGAAACAGGTAAACGTGTTCAGCTGCCTACTGTTAGATATAGAGGTGTATGAAAAACTTGTATTGGCCCCTCTGTTCTCTCTACACCTAAGTGTGTGTAGATGTTGTCATTACTAGTCGATGTGCTCTTAGTCTCATGCAGAGGCTCTACTCTTTCTACCCGTGGTACATGTTACAGTGTGCTATGCCTCTAGTGGTAGATAGCAGGTGGAGAGTAGCAAAACGACATAGCAGCTAGTATAAGTGCGCGTTTTATTTACTCTACGTACAGCTTTGTTATACGCACCATATTGTAGTCTATTCTTACGTAGCATATTTACTCGAAGTTACTTCATGTTTGTTATATTTTCACGCAGTATATGAAGTCATGTACAATGTATTTGAAGTAGGTACATTACTTGGGATTTGTAACATTATGTGTTTACATTCATTTCTTTAGTAGTATTTTTGTTTGTAGTTGATAACTATGTAGTATAATTACGTTTAGTTATTTACATGTAAGACATCCAGGCATTAAATAGATGCTTGTCAGCATATTAGTATACTAAATGAAATTACGTTTTCCGTCGAATTCCATGTTAGTTAATAACCGTATTCCGAAGAACAGCAATATAATTACGATTCAGCATGATGAAGTATCGAGGATGTTGATAATGCCCGACACATTGCATTAAGGGTTGTCTACGACGTTGCAACGTTGGCTTACTGGATTTTGTTTCTTTGCGTAGAATCTCTTGTGAAAATCTCGTGAGAAATATGAATAAGACTACAGCCGCGCGCGCGCTCTTCTCGTCACCGTCGTGCTAGCCCTGAGTATAATCTAACACATAAATCTTCCCCTCTCTGTTCTCTCTAGTTCCCTCGCTCTTTCTCTCTCCTTTCCCTATCTCGTCCTCTCTTTCTATCTCTCTCTATTTCTTCCTCTCTCTTTCTCTCTCTCTCTCTCTAAACGGTTACCTGGCGACATCAGAGTTTTGACAGCGGGCGACTTATCTGATAGCGGGGCGGGTATCTTGTCGGTGGCTTAATAATCGATAATATTAATATGCTGTTGGTGGAAATTAGGCTGGGCACTTGTATATAACAATTTTTTAACCAATGCAAGAAACATGTAAAAATAATGTGTACATTTCTCTGGTTAGATTAGATGGAGCGACTTAGAAAATCTTAGATGGAGCGCCTTTGGTTATACCATGGGTTATACATTGTTTTCACATTTCGCACTATTTTAATGTTTTTGAACGTGGAATGTGAAAAAAATGAAACTGGAAAAAAATAATTAGCCCATGCAACGTGTTATGATCTGTAGAACGTTTCGACCAAGTTTGGAGAGGATCCGTTGAGCGGTGCGGAAACGTATAGCCGGACACACATACACACACACACACACACACAAAATCTCCAATTTAGAGTAAGATATCTGCCGGACTATATGTTATACGCACATGCAAGTCATCGTCATGGCAGCC